CTATCACATAAATACTGAGGCTTAGGCACATGGGGGTGAGAGAAGTTGAAGTGCTCATTGCCCATGACCAGGAAAAGAAGAGAACTGAGCACCTTTTCTAGAGACCATCCCCAAGTCCATAATTTTCAAGTTCCATCTATCTAGAGCTTTGGCATCTGGGAATAGACAAAGGCTGATAACAGAAACAACAGCCCTAATAACAGTGGAAAGGGTCACTGAGGGAAGATTGTGCCCAGAACTGTGCTAACCTTCCTGGAGGCAAGGGAAAAGAGCCCTGCCTTCTTGCCAGGTCCCTACTTGTCAGAAAGGTGGGTAGAGAGAAGAGTTTTGGAAAGATGAAAGGGATAGTTTCAGGGGAGCTATGGCCACTGCACTCCTCTCTCCCTCCCCTTTCCTCACACCCGGTACAGCTGGGTTGCTATATTTTGTGCTTTGTGCCCTGGATTTGCCTTTTCAGAACTTTCCCAGGCTCATATTTACAGCCCTGCCTCTCCAGAGGTGGGGTGATTCCTTCATTTGTACCTGAGTAGAGACCGAGGCCTAGAGAGCTGTTCCAAGTCTGTTCAGTGTGTCATAGGTTCACAACCTGAACACTGACTTACAGAGGTCCCTCTAGTAGACAGAATGTTGGACTTAGGTTCAGGAAGACCTGAGTTCAAATTCTATCTCAGATACTAGCTGTGGGATTCTGGACCAGTCACTTGACCTTTATGGCCTCAGTTTCCTCAAATTTATAAAAAGGGGGGAGGGGTTTGCACTCAATGGCCTCTAAGGACCCTTCCACTTCTCAATCTATGATCCTATAATCTTTTGTGCAAGGTGAGACAGAAGGTCACTTGCACAATGATGGCTAGCAGAACCGTAACCAGCAATTGCTGCATCCAGGTCAAAGATGGGGGGGGATCACTCAGGGGACCTACCTGGGACACCACATGTTTTCCTCTCAGTTAAAGGCCTGGCCACTGCTTGAGGATATGAAGTGGGGGGAAGGGGGGAGCTGGCCTCAAGGAAAAGGAAATGAACCTTGGGATGGATGGCCCATGGCTGCAGAAACCAGATGGGCCAAGGAGAAAGGGCACCCTTGGATAATGCTATTGGTGATCTCTAAAACTTCCCACCCTCAGACAAAGTTTCCATTCCCACCCTAGTTACAGTTCTCCTGGCTGGATGTGTCTCCATGCTTTGAGGCCACTTGATATCTGGGGGCTCAAACTACTCTTGTTCCTCACTCTGGAAAAGAAGGAACAGTATATGCTTCCTTGGGGAAATATCATGGCCCTCTGGGAGAAGAGTCCTGCCAGGAGGAGTCCTGTTACTATATCACCAAGATATGACTTTTTGATGTGTATATAAGTACAGATACTCATTCCCAGGATGGGAAGTGGAAAAACTGGAGAAAAACGGCTTGAAAAAGGAGGTGTGCGTGTGTGTGTGTGTGTGTGTGTGTGTGTGTGTGTGTGTGTGTGTTCATGCATTTACACTGCAGGAAGATGGTTAAAAGGAGACAAAAGTGGAGCAGGCCAGGAGACCACTTTGCTGGAAATTTGTCTGAGGAGCTGAGCTAGAGGAGAGAACAGTATCCTCTTTCTGATACAATAATACCTTCCTTCCTCGTATTGCCCTAAAGCCTTCAGTCCCATGGCTCTGACAAGCCATCAAAATTCTCACTCTCATCCTGACCCTCCTCTAACTAAGAGACCAATTTACTGTTTAACTAGGTCAGGTTAATGCTGCTCCCACCCCTACTATGTGGAGCATTGAAAGCAGCCAAGATATGGCTGATATAACTGCCCCTTTGCCTCAGCTATCCCCAAGTCCTAGAAGAGAGCTAATTCTCCTCCAAGCAGCTGGTGTTCTTTGCCCACCTTCCAGGCTGACTTTGGTTGTTGAGGGTTTCTCTTCACCCCCCCACCCCTTCCTTACCCCAAAGAACCCAGGTTGGATACTGCTCTAAGAGCTGGGGATGTTTCTCCTTCTGAGTAATCTTCGATGATCAAGGAAAAATAAACCGAGCTACCAAAATACCTCTCTCAGCTGCCCTTCCCCCCAGTGCTATAATCAGGGTGGGGGAAAAGACCCTTTCAGGATGGAGGTTGGAAGAGGCCTAGCATGAAGGACTCTAGGATTGTCCTACCCACTGCTACCTTCCTACAGGCTGGATACACAGGCAGTAATCATTTTGTTGTATCTGGTAGTGCCCAGAGTTGGACATGAGCTCTCTCTATTTTGGAGAGGGTCAGATCTGGCACCTGGGGAGACAGGTGGCCAGATCTGCAGCACAGTGCTTGGACGGGCACCTGATTAGATAAACAAAAACTGGTATTTATATAACAACTTTAAGGTTTGCAAAGTATTTTACATACAATATCTCATTTGATCCTCCCAATAATTCTATAAGGTCGATAACCATAGTACTTGGTGCTATGTATGTGAAAGTATTCCCATTTCATAGATGAGGAGAAGTGAATTAACTTGACCATGCATAATTACATAATTAATGGTAGGGACAGGATTCAAACCCAGGTCTCCCTGACTCTAGATCCAGCCCTTTATGAAGTAAGGATGGAATGGCTAATTCAGATTTTTTTAAAAGGCAATTGGGGTTAAATGACTTGCCCAGGGTCACACAGCTAGTAAGTATCTGAGGCCAGATCTGAACCCAGGTCCTCCTGACTCCAGGGCCAGCACTCTATCCACTACATCACCTAGTTGCTCCATGATTTAGATTTGGTGACTGCACATTTTCAGTAGTGGTTGGCTCAGTGGAGATTCTGGCTGGTTAAAGTGACCAGTTACATGGGTCACTGGTCAGAAAGGAGAGATATTGAGATAAATGACTTTTTAGTGGTTGTGTGATGTCTTGGAGTTGAGAAAACACCTGGGTTTGAAGCCTGCTTCTGTTGTTTTCTGTCTGTGTGACTGGACAAGTTGCTTTACCTTTCTAAGCCTCAATTTCCTCATCTGTAAAATGGGGGTAATAATATCTTTAGTAGCTAATTCAAAGAGTCGTTGAGAGGATCAAAAAAGATAATACAAGTGAGGTGAATTGAAAACCTTAATGCACTCTGCAACCTTAAAATACTATATAGGTATCAGCTATTATTACTATGAGGTGATTGGTGTTTAACTGGTCAGATGATGGAACTGGGAAGTTTATCAGTTGTTTACTGGTTAGATGGGGTGGCCATATAGACAGAATGACTGATTTATTAGGTAGGCAGATAGATGGGATTGGACGTAAGTTCCTCTAATGAGATGGAAGTTCTTATTCCCCATGAATGTGAAGGACAGTGTTTCCTCTTTTTTTTTTACATATTTGGCAACTGAGGCACAGAGAGGAATTGTAAGTGACATACTCAGGTTCACCCAGTAAGTAAGTAGGTTTTAGGGGCAAAGAACAGGACATAGGTGTCCAGACTTTCAGTCTCAGGCCTGTGCCTTCCTATACCATCCCCTTCCTCCACCATCCCCTTCCTCTTTTTGCTGGGAGGAAGTGTATGTGTGACTGTCTATGGGTGAGTGTTTGGAAAGAGGAAAATGTGGTCTGCAGTTGGCCAAGAAAACCCTGCCAAATCCACATAGTAATTGTAGACCACGTGTGAGTCTGGGTGTTCGCGCAAGCGTGGATGCTCCAGGAGGCATGATGCTGAGTGCAAATCCACAGAGATTATTCTTTGACTTCTAAATAGCATCAAAATAGCTCTGCCCTGGGCCCATTGCTGCAGCACCCCGGAAAGCCAGAACTCTGGGGTCAATACGTGGGGATGGGCCCTACACAGCCTGGCACAAGAATCCACATGGAGGAAGGTCTAAGATGGGGTCTGGCCCTCAGTGAGTCAGAAGCAGGTGTGTGGAGATGGGGCAAACATAGAAGTGGAAGATGGGGAATATAAACTGGCCCATCTCTGAGATGGCTTTCTTAGTCTGTGTGAGGGTGCTCCCAGAACCCTTGAGGGGGATATTGTATTCCCCCACCCCTACCAATCTCAAGACTCTGGAAATGGGGATATCGCCTTTTTTTTGCTGACTTTAATCACAGCCAAAGATAGCAAATATGGAACTTTAACATTGTTTGTTCGTTTTAATTAATTTATTTTGATTTATCAATAATCACTTCCATAAGCTTTTGAGTTTAAAATTTTTTTCCTCCTTCCTCCCCACCATCCTCCCCAAGACGGCGCACAATCTGATATAGGCTATGCATTTACATTCATATTAAATATATTTTCACATTAGTGATGTTGTAAGTAAAAATTAAAACCAATAGGAGGAACCATCAGAAAGAAGAAAAATCATTTGTTTGTTTTTGAGGTAATCGAAGGAATAAGTGACTTGCCCAGGATCATATAGCTAGTAAGTTCCTGAGCCAGATTTGAACTCAGGTGTTCCTGACTCCTGGGCTGCTGCTCTATCCACTGTGCTACCTAGCTGCCCTGGGAACTGTAAAGCTCTTCAATGAAGTTTTCCTGACTCCTTTTTTATTTTGATTATTTGGGAGGGGGGACACTGTGGAACACCAGACCTCTGATTTCATTGTAATTAGGAACTCCCAGCTCTGCCGTGTATAATGTTAAAGAGTTGTCTAGGCACTGAAAGGTTAACTAACATGTTAGTTATATATACAGCCAGTATATATCAGAGACTTAATTTGAGCCCTGGTCTTCCTGACTCAGAAGCCATCTCTTTATCCACTATACCAGGAGGCGTCCTAACAATCCTTGAGTTAAGACTCAGAGGAGGTTTGGAGAGGAAGGCTAACTCAGAGGAGATGTGATGAGGAGACTCAAGTCCTCAGAGAGACCTTGGTGGAGACTGCTTCCTTATCCATATCATTTTGGAGAAGTCAGCTCCCCTCTGTGGGCCTTGTTACTAGCAAGTCACTTTACTTCACTGGGCCCCGTTTCCTCATCTGCAAAGGGAGATGACAGTCTCAAATCTATGCTGTGACATCCCCTGATCCTATCCCCCAATTTTCTGTCCCCCACCTCTGCCACCTCTAGCCTGAGGAGCTCACCAATGCCCTGGAGATCAGCAACATTGTCTTCACCAGCCTCTTTGCCTTGGAGATGCTGCTGAAGCTGCTGGTGTATGGCCCCTTCGGCTACATAAAGAACCCTTACAACATTTTCGATGGAGTCATCGTGGTCATTAGGTAAGTTCTGCCTTCTCCCGACGGGCCTCCTGAGCAGAGGCCAGAGGACTCAGAGAGGGAAAAGATTGGCTTAGGAGGAAGCTAGGGGCCTGGAGTTAGCTGTACTCCTTCCTTTCCACCAGATGCGAGGCAGGATGATTTAATAGACAGATCACACTTCCCACAGCACTGGAAGTCAGGAAATTGGGGTTCTAGTGCCTACTTTGCCTGGCTTTGTGACCTTGGGCAAGTCACTTCATTTCCATCTATACAATGACATGGTTGGAATTAGATGATCAATACTCCATCTGGGACTATTTTATATTCTTCTCCCACAAGTCTTATGATTTACTTTTTCTGGAGGGAATGTCAGAGGGCTGCCACGTACCAGACATCAATAATAGCTTCCTTTTCACTTCTGTCTTGTGCTTTCCCACTTTCTTAGACATCCCATGTTTCTCTGTTTCTCTCCATTACCACCTACAGTCCTGTATTTGATCAACTAGAATTTATTAAGCACCTACTATGTGTCAGTCAGGTACTGTGCCAAGTGCTAGAAATACAGAGAAAGGCAAAAAACCAAAACAAAACAAAAAACAATCCTTGTTCTCAAAGAATTCACAATTTAATGGAGGGGAGACAACATGTAAAAAACTATGTACAAATAATTCAGAGACAGGATAAATTGAGGGTAATTTCAGAGGGAAGGCACCAAGCATAGGGAGAACCATGAAAGGCTTCTTGCAGAAGCTGGGATGTTAGCTGAGACTTGAAGGAAGCCAGAAAGCTAGAAGGGGGATAGCATTCCAGTCAATGTATGTCCTAGAACATCGCTGCTCCTTAGCTCCATCATACCCCTTTCTGCCATCTTCCCTCCATTCTAAGCCCCTCTGCCCATCCTATTCATTTGGTGAGGGGAGACAGATGCAGGAGTAGCTGGCTTTGGATACAAGTACTGGAGAGAGGGAGCAGCCCATTTTGTAAATTGCTTGAAACCCTTGTGGGTGCTCCCAGGAACTCAGTTTGGGGTTTCCAAATCATTGCTCTATCCCAATCCAGGCTTGGGGCCAGGAGAGACAGCTTTATTACTTTTTTCTGGTTGGCTTTAGCTTTTATTAGAGGAGAACAAAGCAAATATTTCATAACCTGATGCTGTTCCATAGGCTCGATGGGGAGGAGGGTAGGGGGTTAGGAGGGGCAGGAGGAGTCCTGTGGGCTGCAGTAATGGGGCCTCTGTCTGGGAGAAGAATGGGAATAATCATAGGCATAGGGCTGTTCTTTGGAATACCACCATTCCTGAAGCAGTTTGAAGTCCACAAGGTGAAGTAGAGAGTATCTCAGTGCCTCAATTTCTGTGGGCTTCTGTGGATATTAATCCCCTCTCCCCACTGTGGATCAGAGGGAGCCCCACTATGGAGGGATAGAATGCTTCTATCCCCATCCTAGGAGATGGGGAGTATGGGAGGAAATGGAGGACAGATTAAAGATTAGTGGAGGGAGATAGGGGGAGGATAGAAACTGGGGTGACTGTTCATCTCCATAGTTCTGATCCAGTCACATCTCCAGATTAGGGTCCACCCAGGCTTGCTACTCAGGGCCTAACACTTTGCCTTCCTCCCCTTATTGCCTGCCTCATCCTTGTTCCAACTTCCCTGCCTCTCACACAGTGTGTGGGAGATCGTGGGCCAACAAGGTGGAGGTCTGTCTGTACTTCGGACCTTCCGGCTGATGAGGGTGCTGAAACTGGTGCGTTTCCTGCCTGCTCTGCAGCGACAGTTGGTGGTGCTCATGAAGACCATGGACAACGTGGCTACTTTCTGCATGCTACTTATGCTGTTCATCTTCATCTTCAGGTGAGGAGGGGGTCAGGTGGGACCTGACTCTTCTGTGCAGGGTTCCAAGCCAAGGTAATGTAATTGACCTTTAAAAAAAATTTTTTTTTTCAATTAACAAGCATTTATTTTTCTCTACCTAGCAACCCTGCTCCCTGCTCTGAGAAAGAAAAAAATAAAAACAAAACGCTTGTAACAAATATGCACAGTCAAGCAAAACAAATTCCCACATAGGCCGTATCTAAAAATGTATCTCATTCTGCATGCTGAGCCTATCACCTCTCTGTTAGGAGTTGGGTAGCATGCCTCATCATCTCTTCTCTGGAATTGTGGTCATTGTGCTAATCAGAGTTCTTTTTTTTTTTTTTTAACAAAGTAACTGACCTTTTGGAAGCACCTCAAAAAGGGGCTTGGACCTTCAGTATTTTCCAGTTCTCTCTAAACCAGAGAAATTCTTCACCTTCTTTGTACCATGGGTCCCTTTGGCAATCTGGTGAAGCTTTTAAATATATAAAATACCTAGGATTACAAAGGAAGCTAATTATATTGAAATAGTTGTCTCTATGTATTTTCAAAAGCTCACATATCCCAGGTTAAGAATCTTAGCTCTAAGCTCTGAGGGTTGAAGAATAGGGACGTGAGGCATCCCAGATTCTCAGGGACAGGACTGGGTATCAAAAGGGAACGGTGGGGAGGCCTTGCATTAGCTTTTCTCTGTGGGAGCTGGCCGAGTTATTCCCTTGCTTTACACATCCCCTAAAGGAGAACTGGATGGAAGAGAAGCCAGCCACAGCCGACATCTGGCATGGTTGCTGGCCCAGGGATTCTGTCGCTGGGGAGCAGGGATGCCTGACTTGACTCAGCCCAACTGAGGGTAGTAGAGTTCAGCATATGGGCTCCCACTGGGAAGCTGCATGGGGGGAGGGGGAGGAGGCACAGAGGGGGTTCCAAGCATCCGCTTTTCTCCACCAATATGCCAGGTCACAGACTCTTTCCTCTCCACATCTTCCTTCCTTACTTGACTTTTTTTTTTTCTCTCCGCATCATTCACACCTTCAAGCTTTGGGTCAAATAACAGCACTATGGGTGGTTTGCTCTCAGGTCAAGTTTGAAACCCCTGAAAGCTTAGAGAGTGCTAGAAAGGGAGCTTGCCTACCCACAGGCACCTCTACCCCTGGTTCTGTGCCTAAAGGCTTTTTTGGGGAGCCCAAAAAATATCAGGCTATGGTCTAAGGAGAGGGGAAGGGAACACGAAGCTGGAGTTGTGCTTATATCCGATATTTTTGCTATTTGGACTATGGTAGGCAACCTAGAGTCAAGCAGAGTTTCCCCACTGTATCCCCCCCACCACCGCCCAAACTGAAGGGTAGAGTGTTGGAGAAATCTGCTCTCTGGGGCTGGGAAAAAGTGAGTTTAAGGATGTACCTGGTGTAACCAAAGAGGACCTGAGCTGAAGAGGATAAAGCAACAGAATAGGGTTCCCCACCCCCGGCAGGGGAAGAGATGGGGAGCAGGAAACAGAGTGCTTTACCCTACCTCCCCTCTTTTATGTTTAGCATCCTGGGCATGCATCTCTTTGGCTGCAAGTTTGCATCTGAGAGAGATGGGGACACACTGCCTGATCGGAAGAACTTTGATTCTTTGCTTTGGGCCATTGTCACAGTCTTCCAGGTATATGGGTCAATGGGACCTTCAGGGTGGGTCCTCATTCTAAGATCCCAAGGGTGGATGGGGAGGAGAGGTTTCGGAAGGCTGCTGGACTTGGAAGCCAGAAGCACAGATGTTTACTAGCTGTGTGACTCAGGGCAAGTCAAATAACCTCTCTTGGCCTCAGTTTCCTCATCTGTAAAATGGGGCTAATAATAGCACCTACGTCCCAGGGTTGTTGTGAGGATCAGGTGAGACCACCTATGTATAGAGCAAACCCCAAAGTTCTCTAGAAATACTAACTATTGTCATTTTTATTCCCTAACCTCTGATCCCCACTGCAGATCCTAACTCAAGAGGATTGGAACAAGGTCCTCTATAATGGCATGGCTTCAACGTCCTCCTGGGCAGCTCTCTACTTCATTGCACTGATGACTTTCGGCAACTACGTCCTCTTCAATCTACTTGTGGCTATCCTGGTTGAGGGCTTCCAGACCGAGGTAACCCCCCTGGACACTGTCACCCTGTCCCCTTGAGAACAAAATGATCCTTCACTAGAAATACCATCCTTTAGAATGAAGCTTGATCCAGCAACCTTGTTCTACTGGGCTCAGCTTCCAGACCAAAATAACTCTGCTCTAGGGTTCTCTTCTGGATGGATGTAATCCAATGGGATTCTTCTTCCTGGTTCTCTTATCCCTTCCAAACAGAAGTCACCTCTCTCTCCCTTAGCGACCCCCCTTCACTCCACAGCTAGAACTAAATCACCCCTCTATAAAGCACAGCACCCCTACATTCCCACTTTCAGACCCAAGCAATCCCCAGGCAATGCTCCCCCTTCTGGACAAAAGTGGCTCCTTCCCCACCCCACCCCCAGTAACAGAGGACACTGAGCTCTTGGACAAAGTGGGTTAGGGGAGATTAGAAGAAGGTTTTGAGGAAGGGTGTGTGGGGACAGGACTGGAGGGTTCCTGGAAGCATCTTATCCTGAGTCATTCTGGAGAAATGTTGGGGGGTGGGGGTGGTGTGTGGCATTTCAGTTGTTAGAGGATGGAGTAGAATTGGACACCTCCCTATCAAGCCAGTTAGTCACTTCCCAGGATGAGAAAATAAAAGTTGAGTTGGAAATAGATGATCTCTCAGGGACCTTCCAGCTCTATCCATCCACGGTCTTAGGCCATTACCCTTGCCACTCCTCAGGCCCCCTTCTTCTGAGGGCAAACAGTTTAGGTTACATGTTTCCCTCCCCCGAACGACCTATTTTCTTTGGGGAAATCGTGTGGGGTGAAGATGGACAACGAACAACACAAAATCTTGATCTAGAGGGTCCGACCATCCCCTGGGGCAAAAAAGGGGTTCATCGGCCACCTTTCAATCCTATCCCTCCTCTCCAACAGTGCCTCAGAGACCATGGCCTCGGGGTTGGGGCGATGCAGACACACTGAGAAATGAGCCCAGTTAGCAACCTCTAAAATGAAAATGAGACGTCTATTTCCAGATCACGCCCACGCCTCCGTTTGTCACAGGCCCCGCCATCGATTAATATTGATTATCATTGATCCTGCCTTAGCTGAGCCCCGGCGGTCTGGTCCAGTGTCTTTCCGAAGGCCCCCTCCGCAAGGCCACGCCCCCGCCCTCATTTCTCTTTTTCTGCCTCGGTCTTCCTTCCCCCCCCCCCATGCTCCTTCTTCGGGGTCCCGCTGGGCGCCTGGAAAAACCTCCTGGTTGGGCGTTGAAAAGCTGTCGAGCCAATTCTTTCCCGGTGACCGGGATGGAAACTCCCGCTGCGGCCCTGGCTATAAATACCCGGCGGGGTGGGAGGGGATGGTAGAGATGAGTGTGGGGGGGAGCATCTATTTTCCTTCTGGGTTCCCAGAACCTTGGGGAGGCCGATTCCCAGCAGGCGGGGATTGGGGACAGAGAAGGGATAAGCTGGGCCTGGCCAAGGCCGGCGTCTGGGAGGAGGCTGCGTCTGCTGCGTTCCAGCGCAGCCTTGGGCATTCAATCTGTAGCTATCCATTTATCTTCCCCATCTCTCTGGCCCAAAAGAACGGCTGCGGGTGTGTATGTGGGGGGGGGGGGGGGGGTAGAGAGGGGGGAGAGAAAGGAGAGCGTCCAGAGGAGGAGACTGGCCGTGAGCCAAAGCTTCTTCAGGTAGTTAGAAGCCTTGCAGTGGCGCTCCCAACCCCGGAGGGGCAATAACTGCTTCGAGAAAGGAAGGTTGAGGGGGATTTTCTGTTTGGCTCCTTGGGCGGGAAAGGGTTAACGCCCTTGTCCCCTAGTGCACGAACTTTGCATTTGGTAGGCACTATATACCTTTTTTAAAAATTGACTTGGATTGAATTCATGCCGCCATTCCTCCCTCTTTAGGCTCGCCGTTACAAGCACAGAGTGCCTGGAGTTTCTCCTTCCCAGGCTGTGGGGGGTGGCTAGAAAGGGGAATGGGACACTTCCATATTCAAAGTCCGGGGCCCGGGCAGCCCCTTCCCGGCTTCTGAACCGGAGATCCAGATAGCACCAGGGGCCTAGAGTTTCCCCGGAGAACCTCCCCACCTAACGAAGAGAAAATGGAAAACTGGCCTGCTCTCTCCTATCTCCCTCGCTCTCTCAAGGGCTGTTTTCTGAATATCCTTCTTTCCAAGTTTACAACCCAGATGTACCCTTCTGTGGTCTGTGCCGGTCACTGACTCCTTGGTGCATCTTCCCCACTGCCACCCCCGCAGAAGAGGTCTCTCCCCCTCCCCCGCCCCTATTGTCCCTTTCAGCAAACACCTTGTTAATTTGAGTGCAGCTGTGCTGGGCTCCTGGTTGCTAAGCAGCAGCAGAGTCTGCGAGAGGACAGAGCCGGCTGGGGCTCCTCATACCCTAGGGTGGGGTGACCCTAGTCCTGTTGGGTGGATGGTGGGCTGTTCTAGATCTTGAGCTTGCCTTGGTGATGGTGGTTGGAGCGGGAGTGGGGGGTCTACAGCCTGTGCCCTACTCCAGCACGGGGGCTGGGGGGGTGCTGGGGGGGGAGCGATGGAGGAGGGTAGGAGGAATAGCCATCTAAACTATCTCAGTTAGCTAGGCCAGCCCAGGAGGCTGCCTTGGTATATACTGGCTCTGCCAATGTAACCCTCCTTAGGAGAGTCCTGTCTGGCAGAGAAAAAAGGAGAGGGTATCCTACAACGGGGATCTTCTAGATTCTATGGTCTAGAATTTGGAAGTCTTGGTTTTCTCTAGCCAGCAATGTCTAGACTGTCCCCTTCAGAGAAAGACTTTGCACCAAGATCTTGGTGGTGTTTTAGTGATGTTCTCCCCCCCACCCCCCCTCCCCCATTACAGGAGTCTTAGATCCCATCCTATTTACTGTTCCTATGGATTAAGTAAATTCACAGGTTGCAGGTTCACATGATGGGAGGAATTAAGAGCAAATCTCCCCTTCCCACTATAGTGTTTGGGACCCGCCTTATGCTTGGACAGTGGAATATCCATTCCCCAAAGTTGAGACTAAGATTCAGGATTAGGTGGTATAGTGGAAAGAGTTCCGAACAGATATGAAAAACCTGAGTTCAGATCCTACTTCTGATGCTTACTACCTGGGCCTCTGTAAAATGAAGGGTTCTTAACTTTTTTTTTTGTCAGCAACTGCTTTGGTGGTCTAGGAAAGCCTATGGAGGCCTTTCTCACAATTATTTTACATGCATAAAATAAATTACAAAGGAAACCAATTATATTGAAATATGGTTATCAAAATAACCCCAGGTTAAAAACTCCTGAATTATGACCTCTGAGGTCCCAGTCCAGCCCACATCCTTTTCAAATTCTGAGGTTTGGGTCTAGAGGCCTCTCTTAGGGTCAGGGGCATCTATATATCTTCAGCCCCCTTCCTCCCTGCTTTGTTTGGCATCTTCTTTATGTGAACATTAAAGGTTAAATAATATCAGTGAGGCTAGGATGTCATTGATCTCAGTTCTGATTCTCCTTCATAAGGAAATGGTGGGGCAGCTAGGTGGTGCTATGGATACAGCACTGACCCTGGAATCAGGAGGATCTGAGTTCAAATCTACCCTGAGGTACTTACTAGCTGTGTGACCCTGGGCAAGGTGCTTAACCCCAATTGCTTCCAAAAAAGAAGAAAATAGTTTTTAGATCCCAAGTTTCCATTAAAAAAAAAAAGCCAAACATTAGCAGCAGAGATCTGAGAACGTATTTCCCAACCACCATTTTGGTGGATTAAGTTAGAAATAGCTTTCCTGAATGCAGAGGGAGGGAAGTATTCTAGTTTCTTCTACCTTCTGTGTACAGGGTGAGCTTCAGCTGAACAAATTTCTCTCTGCATCTCAGTACTAGGTGTTACTCCTATACGTAGGTTCATTAAATTCTCAGGCTGAAGGCCTGTTATGAAACTATTATTTGCTATGAAAGGATGGTATTACCATGTCATATTGTCACATTCCCTCTCAAAGGGGTCACTTTTAGAGACCTTTCATTTGAAGGAACTTAAAGGGTGTGAGACAAGAGGCCTCTTCTTTGTCTTTCTGCCCCTTAGCCCAGTTTATGCCAAACCTCCCCCACTACACACACACACACACACACACACACACACACACCCCTTTCCCAACTCCCTTGCCTACAAGGGGACTCAGGAGACATAAGTCCTGGTCCTGGCTCTGTCCCTATTGGTGGGACCTTGGGACCTCTGTTTTCTCATCTGTAAAGTGAAGGGGTTTGACTAGATCAGGGGTGGGGGAACTGAGGCCTGGAGGCCACTCAAGTGTGGCTCTTTGACTGAATTCAAACTTCATGGAACAAATCCCCTTAATAAAAGGATTTGTTCCATAAAACTTGCACTCATTCAAAAGGCCGCACCCAAAGACCTTCTGTGAAGGTCCTCATTTTATGTATGAGGACACTGAGAACCAAGGAGAAGCGGTAACCCTGGGATTTTAACCAATGAGATGATTTCTTTAAGTTCCTTCTACATCTGACATCCTGTAATTCTACTTTGACCACTATCTTCCTATCTTTTTTGCCCCTGCCTCATTGGTCTATACTTCTGTTCCTGCCCCTCACCTTCATGGCTTTACCTCTCACTCCTTCATTTTCCTTTTAACCCAGAAATCTCAGGGGGCTTTCATCTTGAACCCCAATATGATCCCATTTTGCTTTTCCCTACCACACACCCCATTTAAACCATGCCCCAGAGCATCTCTTGTTTTTCACTGTGCTGGAGGTGATTTTCCCTCCTTACTATCCATTCTCAATTCGGATATTTGAAAGCCTGTGCAACTATGACCAGTGCCCACCCTGCCTCCCCCCCTCTCCCTGTAGGAAATCAGCAAACGGGAAGATGCAGGTGGACAGTTAAGCTGTATTCAGCTGCCTGTCGACTCGTTAGGGGTAGGTAACAGTTCGGCATGATCTCTCCCCTTCTGTCTGACCTATACCAGCCCTGTGCTTCCCTCCCACTGCCATCCCTCCCGTTTTGGTGTTCCTCTGGTCCTTCACTCTTGCCTGCATTGGTGATTGTGGTTACCTTGGTGGTTTCTGTGGATGTCGTGAAGCTAACTTTGATTTTAAGTCCCTTCCCTCTTGACAAGCTCAAAGAGGAAACTCTCCTTGCTAGGATCCTTCTTGGCTCTGGCTCCTTGATGGGGGAAAAAGCTCCCCACCCATCCTCACCATATTGTGAAGGAAGTGACTTAGAATCAAGTATATATTTATATGTGCGTGTGTGAGATAATACTGAACCATTCAGGTCTTAGATGATAAAGGACTCCCAGCCTCATGGCCCCTCACATATCTCTCCCTTCTCCCTTTATTCTTTTCCCCGGCTTTTGGCTTTATAGGGTTCCTCCTGTAAGCTGCTTAGATTGGGGAAGGGCCACTTGAGGAGATGGGGAAGCTTCTGCCAGAACCATACCCAAATTTTAATACTACCGAAATACTATGAGTATTAAGTGTTTCATTTCAGTTTTAATTCAAGCCCTTTTTGCATCTAGAAAAGCAAATAGGGAACAGAGAATTTCCTGTTCCATGGTCTCCCCTTAGGCCTATCGCCCCACTGCAGCCATGGTGGTCCCTAGGGGCTTCAAGGTGCAGGGAATGAAATTAGGGGCTTAAGGAGAGAGAGAGGAAGAATATTAAACCAGGATCCTTAGTAGGCTCTGGCTCCTGGAGCAGCACCCCAGAGCTCCCACTTGATAATTAAAGGCCTTGTTAGGGATGTAAACTGAGTTAATGAAAATGTTCCCCTGAGATGCCAATTAAGCAATATTTATATCCTTATCAAAAGTAGCAATCAAGAATTTTTTTTTAATAACTTAAGGACGAGTGAGCAATTACTGGGAAACCTACTGACCTGTTAAGAAGGGAAAAAAGGCCATCCCAGAGATGAGAAGAGGGATTGAGACAGAAAGGGGGCAAGAAAGGCTGAAAGAAAGCCAGGGGCAGGCTGGATCTCAGGGATGTAGGGGCCTGAAGTGAAATAGAAAAAAAGAAACTACTTGGGGCAGGGACTACCTGCTATGTAGGGGCTGAATGTCCCTCAAGGATCTCACCCAGGCTTTGTTTGGGCAGAGGGAATAGGGAGCCCTGGAGGGGAGGGCTGAAGAAGCCCAAGTGGCCAGTTAATGAGGCTCCGTCTGCCACTTCAGAGTTCCAGCTTGTGCACCTCCAAATCCCACTCCCATTCAAGCACAATCCAGTTCACCCACCTGAGTCACTGGGAGCTGAGTTCCCAACTGATCCAGTTCTGTTTGTGGCCATCGGAGTTAGAAACGTTTTCCTGTGATTTGTGGCTGGTTGGGGTCAGAGGAGTCCATGCAATTCTGGCTCAGGCTGGCCCCAGGGGAGCCTGACTTTGTGAGCACAGGGTCTCTTGGTGTGAACAGATGCAGGTGCATGGCTCATGTTGTGATCAATAGTTCCTGTGGTGTGTATGTGTGTAATCCTGGGTGCTCCCTGCGGTGTTGAAAAGCCCCAGAGTCCTGACTCCCCCCTCCTCTACCTCTCCCTAGGGAGATGCCACGAAGTCTGAGTCGGAGACAGATTTCTTCTCACCAAGTGTGGATGGGAAGGGGGACAGGAAGAAGCACTTGGCCTGTGAGTAGCCCCTGCTTCTGGGCTGAGGAACAAGAGGGAGAGATGTGGACCCTCTGGTGGTTCAAGAGGTAACTGGGATCTTTGTTCTTCTCTCCCCACCCCTTCTCCAGTGATGTCCCTGGGAGAGCACCCAGAACTGAGGAGGAGTCTTCTGCCACCCCTCATCATCCATACCGCTGCCACACCCATGCCTTTGCCCAAGAGTGTTGGGTTAGGGGAGGCTTCAGGCCCTGCTTCTCGAAGACAAAGTGGCAGTGGCTCCAACGACCCCAATATGGCCCATGAGATGAAGTCACCGGTAGGGCTGTGTTTGTATTTGGGGTGGGGCAAGGGGCTGGAGGTGTGATGTTGGAAGGAAGATGGAGACAGAAAAGGGAGGGTCATGGAAGTCCAGTGTCTGTGGTAGGTGACCAGAGGGAGGAAATGACTAGAAAAGGTTTGGGGGGAGCCTGGAGCCCTGGTGGAGAAAATGGGAAGAGAGTGGTAGAGATTGACGTGAAGGGACAGCAGGAGGAATACATGAACGAATGAATGAATGAAGGAATGAATGAAAATTTATTGAAGGCTTTCTATGTGCCAAGCATTATGTTAGATATACAAAAACAAGACTCTGCCCTCCAAAAAATCACATTCTAGTGGGATAAACAACACATCTAGGGGAAAAGGCAATAAGAGGAGAGAGGAGAAGATTGGGAATGGAGCGAAAACGGGACTTCTATTTAGTCAGTTTTAAGAGAAAGCGATGCTGCCTAGACAATCCCCAGGGCACTTCACACAGTGAAGACAATAGAGTTCAGGTCTAATCCTCTTCATTTTTGCAACAGTGTGAATTACCTTTCCCTCTCAGTTCATCTATTAAGTGATTACAGTGTGCAAAGCCCTAGGCATTGAGGAGGTACAGAATTTGGGTCAGACATGGCCCCTGCCTTAGGGAAACTTGCAGTCTAGATATAAAACATACACAGACTGAGCAGAAGAGACAGGGCCCAGATTAAGTGGACTGGGCAGTGGACTCGACATGAGGAAGACCAGAGCTAAAATCTTGCCTCAGACATTTATTAGCTCTGGGACTCGGGGCATCACTTCAACTATCCGGGCCACCGTTTCCTCATCTGAAAAAGGAGGAGGCTGGACCAAATAAACTTTAAGGTTCCTTCCAGTTCTAAATCTGACCCCATGATTTACAGTACACACAAATTACATGGTAAATGCATTTGAAAGGTGCAAAACAAATGTTCTGTGAGGCCTGAGAGGAAGGTCATTTCTGACTGGGAGAAGATCAGGGAAGACTTCATAGAGAAGATGGCATTTGAGTTGGGCTTTAAAGGGGATGGATAGGAATTCAGCAGATGATGAGACATCTTTTGCCTCCTTCCTCCCACCTCTATCCTCTCTCCTTGTCCCTCTCCATTTATGTGGAAAGTGATGGTGCAGTGGATGGCAGGAAGTTGAGGATATGATAGAGAGGCCAGAGGGGAGAGCAGCTTGGCTGACCTCTCATCCCACTTGGCCCCCTCCTTAGCCCAGTGTCCGAAGCTCCCCCCACAGCCCCTGGAGTGCAGCGAGCAGCTGGAACAGCCGACGGTCCAGCTGGAACAGTCTTGGCCGGGCGCCCAGCTTGAAGCGACGGAGTCCAAGCGGAGAGCGTCGGTCGCTGCTGTCTGGGGAAGGGCGGGAGAGCATGGAGGAGGATGAAACCTCAGATGAGGACCAGGCCAGCCGGGTGGGGAGTGACCCCCGAGCAGGTTCTCTGGACAGAGAGACCAAGGGCTCATTTGACCTCCAGGACACGCTCCAAGTACCTGGGGTATATCGCACAGCCAGTGGCCAGAGCTCAGCCTCAGAGCACCAAGACTGCAATGGCAAGACAGCATCAGGTCATCCTGACCGAAACCTACAGCTGGATGAGCCCCAGCTAGAGGGGGACGATGCTGATGATGAGGGCAATATGGTGAGAGCCATACTTAGGTGTGGAAGATAAAATGAAGGAAGAGGTTGCTCTACTTAGCCGTCAACCCCTCTGCCTCCTCCCCCACCCTTCTTCCGTTCCTCCCCACCATTTGGTCCAAAGAGAACATTCTATTTCAGTCATTACCCAGTGGACTTCAGCTCCCCTAGGATCCCAGATGGTAGTGATCTCTTGGGTAGGATCTGGGCATCTTTTGGTTCCTTTGACCTGGAAGTTTCTCCAATGGCTGTGCCTTTTGTCTCTCTTTCCCCTGTTCTGACCCAGAAAATAAGGGAGGAGGCTTCATTTTGTGCCTGGACCTGTTAACTCTGAGGTAGTTGGTGGATATGGATGGTTTTGGGGGCATATATGTATGAATCTTTCATAGCCCTCCCTCTGTGCCTGGGAGAAACCAATCATTCATCTTTCAGTGCTGATTTCTCCCCTCCCCTCTTCCCCCATATTAAGTTCCCTAATTCCAGGGTAAGATCTTATTCATCACTCTGCCTGAACACTCCCTCCTTCAACTCTTGCAGTTCAATTAAGCTGTGGGTATGGTGGGTAAGGACAAAGGGCTGTGATGGAGGCTGGGGGCAGGTCTCAGGGATGCTTGGACTTCAGGATGAGCAAATTTGAAGGGGATAGGATATGTTTCTTCTACCCAGGTGTATCAGTAAACAAACACAGGTTATTGGGAATGTGATTAGATAATTGACATGTCTCCAAAGAAGAGCAAAAATGGAGCCCATGGCTGAGACAGATTGGAGAAGGGGGAGCAGAAGAGGGATATGGGAGAATAACGGAAGTGAGGGACCAAGGAAGAGAGGCAATGGGGAAGAAATGAGAGGTGAGGACAGCAGGAGAGGGGTTGAGATGGGGGTGAAAGTGCTAAGGAGATGGAAGAGGGAGAGACTGAGGAGATGGGGCAGAGGGCCTGAAAAAATAGAGGAGAGGGGCTGAGGAGTTGGGGAGAGAGGGGCTAAGGAGAGGAGTTGAGAAGATGGGGAAGGAGGGGTGGGAGGGAAAGGGGCTCTGAGAAGATAGGATGGAGGTTGAAAAGATGACACCGCCCCTTACTAGCTATGTAACTTTGAATCTCATTTTCCTTACCTATGAAATAAAGGAGGTGAGACTGAATGGCCTCCTGGCTCTTAATCTGTGATTCTAAAAATGAGAAAAGGGAAGGCCCAATGAAGGAATCAAAACTGAGAGAAGAAGGAGGAAAGTCTGGACTTTGGTCCCTTCTCCCTTTCATAGACTGTTCTTTCTGCAGAGCAAAGGGGAGCGAATAAGAGCATGGATCCGATCTTGGCTCCCTACCTGCTGCAGGGAAAGAGATACCTGGTCTGCCTACATCTTCCCTCCTCAGTCTAAGTAAGAGGGGACCCTGACTTCCTGGGGTGGCATTGTAGCACAGTGAGAAAAGAATCAGCTCTGAAGTCAAAGGATTTGGGTTCAAATCCCACTTCTGATATTTAAATGTGTGACATTGAACAAATGACTTCACCTATCCAGTCCTCTGTTTCCTCATTTTTAAAATGAAAGAGTTCAACTAGCTAGCTTCCAAGGTCCCTATCAATTCTAAATTCCTTTACCTTTACCCTAACCTTACCTGCTCTCATTTAATCATCTTGATAGAGCCCAGAATGAGTGGGGTAGTCTCCTTCTACCCAGCTCAATGTACCCTTAGCCCTAAGGAGATGGGGCCACCAAAGGGGGCTGATAACCCCAGGAGTAGGAGGTTGTCGGATGGGGAAAGGAAGTTTGAATGTGATCCCTATGTCTCTCTTCGTCTCTTTTTGTCCTGTGGTCACTCTCTGTCCTTGTCTCTCTCACTTTTCCATGACATACCCTTCTTCCCTATCTCTGTCCCTGTCTCTTTCTCCTTTGTATGTCTCTATCCTGGGCCAGGTTCCGACTGATGTGCCATAAAATCATCACCCACAAGATGTTTGACCATATTGTCCTGGTTATCATCTTTCTCAACTGCATCACCATTGCCATGGAGCGCCCCAAAATTGACCCCCACAGTGCCGTGAGTACCCCATCCCCACCCTTTCACCTGGCCCCCATTCCACATGCCTGAAGCAATCCTGTGTCCTGGATTTCCCAGGATTGTCCCCATTTCAAATATTCTGTCCCATTGCCCTCATAAACCATCTGAAATGTCCTGGAAATTCTAATATTTTGGCAAGTAGTAACTGAAATAATGGAGTCAGCGAATGTTACAGTAAAAATACACATAAGTCACAAGAGACTGGGAGTTATAGAAAATGGAGAAGTGCAGGTTGAAGGAATATTTGAGGGCACTTGAAAAAAATGTAAACCTTCTAGCTCAGGTTACTATTGCTACTCACATAGGAGACACACTTCTCGGGCACATGTCCTGGCAGTGGCAGTTGACCATGACCTCTCTTGTCCCAAAGCCCCTAAGGCCTCCAGATATTGAGTTTTACAAACTAACTTAAAAGTCTCCACTATTGTGGCAGCAGAGAAAAGATGCTAGGCCATTCATACTCAGCTTGGGATCGGGAAAATCTGGTCATTGTACCCACATCAAATGATGTTTCCATTAAAGGAGTCCTCTACCTCAGCCTTTTCACATAGTCCCCTCAGCAGCACAGGGAATAAATAATCATCATCATTACAATAGCCAGCATTTATGTAGTGCTTGGAGGTTTGCAAAGCACTTACATATGTTATCTCTCTTGATCCTCACAACAATCCCATTGTTGAAAAGGGAGGATATTTGTCTCCCTAGCTTGGTGGAAAAGGCAATGTTTGTGTGAGTTAGTCTGTGCATGCAGGGAGGAGGTAGAAGTAAGTATGAGGGGGAGGAGGGGGTCTTCATGTATAGGTGAGTATGTCTTTGCCAAAGGCTGGATTTGTGAGTGTGTGTGTATGTGTGTGTGTGTGTGATAGAGAGAGAGAGAGAGAGAGAGAGAGAGAGAGAGAGAGAGAGAAGGTGAGAGGAGGAGGAGCTGCTACTCAGTTTCTATATCCTCTCATTTCATTTTGGTTTTTCTTAGCCTTACCCTCAGGCTTGAAGTGTCCCTGATTTGAGGTCAGTCAAGAGGGATGCCCAAGAACTTTAGGCCTTGTGGTGGTGCTGAGGAATCTATCCTACTTGGACTTTCCTGGCAGGATAGAGGAGTGGTGGTCTGGGCTCCAAAGATACTCCCTCTGCCCAACAGTCTGGCATCCTTGGGGAGTTCCTTGGCTGGCTTGGAGAAGGCCAGTCTCCTCCCTGCTCTGCATCCAGGGCCCAGTGCCTAGGTCCACAGGTTTTCAGGGAACAAGTTTCTTTATCCCTTCCAGAGACTTGAAAATGCTTACATTCATTAGCCCTGGGCCTCACATTTTGAGGTGATTCCTCCTTTCTGGTAACTTCAGCTTTTGTCTAGGTTGGAGGTGGGGAGGGGCTGAAGGGTTGGGAGATAGTTGTCTGGTTTCTATTTTTAGTATCTTGTATGTCTTGTTTGGATGTTACCAGAGTGGCCACCCCACTCCTCCTCCCACCATTGTTTAGATTTTGGATACCACTCCAGCTTCTATTTCCCATTAGGGTAGAAGCTGCCAACCAGAGGGGTAAGGGTGAGCCTTGGGAATGGGAACGTCAGTGACAGAGAAGTTTGTCAGGGCTCTGGGACTGGGGAGGAGGAGATCAACTCAGGAGTGTCTCCCAACCCCAGTCTCCTCTTTTCACTGGGAGGGGCCAGGTGATAGTGCAAACAGAGAAGTCAAGGTTGCTCAAGGTGGAGCCAAGAGCTGAGTGGACCATGCTGTGGGGGCAGCAGAAAGACTTTCAGGTTCCCTTCTCCACCCCCTTGGGCTGAAGCTCAGGCCATTCTGCACCCATTGTTTGTCATGGGGCAGGATCCCAAAGGCCAGAACTCTGGAGACACCGATCTCCTTTTCATCCCTGCTCTCTTTTCCAATGTACTGCCGATATTTATTTCTCTATTCTTCACCCCAAGCCCTCCTTCTCCCTTTCCTCTTTTCTCTCCCACTTCTCTTCCCCCCCTCCCTTTCCCCTAGCCCCTTTCTGCCATCTCCACCTCCCACTCTCCCTCCTTTTCACCCCCTTTTCCTCTCCCTTTCTCTTTCTCTCTCCCCTCCGACACCTGGTCTCCTCTGGTCATTTGTCTCCCTCTGTCCTTTTCTTTCTCTGTCTCCATTTCTTCCAGCTCCTTAATATAGTCAATCCTTGCCTTACAAATATCAAAGAGAAAGTGTACATTTCTTTCCTGTGTACTCTCTGCCTTCCCCTCTCCCCAAAATTATATAGTGGGGATGTCTGTGAACAGAGTCCCAGCTGAGATTGTAGCTCTTTTCTTTTGATGGGCTTGGGCCAGGATTAAGGAAATAAGGTGTCAGTCAATAAGCATTTATTAAGCACCTACTGTATGCTAAGCACTGTGTTAAGTGCTAAAGATACAAAGAAAGGCAGCTCTAATCTTATGGGAGAGACAACTAGCAGACATATGTACAAACAAGCTACAGACATGATAAAAAGAAAATAATTAAGAGGGAAGACACTAAAGTTAAGATGGATTAAAAAAGGCTCTGTGTGTGTGTGTGTGTGTTTGTGTGTGTGTGTGTGTGTGTGAGAGAGAGAGAGAGAGAGAGAGAGAGAGAGAGAGAGAGAGAGTGATGGGGAATAAGGGCCACAAGTGAAGTTCGAGTTTGCTTCCCCTTTCTAGATGTAGCTGTATGAATGACCTTGAGCAAGTCATTTCCTATCTCTGGAATGAGTAAAGTAGACTAGAGTTGTTCCAAGGGCCCTAGCAGCAATAACATCCTATGTCCCTGTTATTTAGGATCTTGAAAGGGGGGCTCAATATTCCTTCATTCTGATCCTGACCCTAACACTCCCTTATTTTCTCCCCGGACCATCAGGGATGTGCTGGTAAAGTTTAACCACCAGCTCTCCAAAAACAAATCTAGATGATCAACAAAACAATAAATGAAGGCCTGATTTGTTATAGTCTTTGTGAATTTCTGAGGTGTAAGTGTTTACACTGAAAATCCACTGGGTCATTTGAGTTGGTTCTAGCATACCCCTGACTACAATTGAGAACCTGGTTTAGGAGTAGGGTAGGAAGCTGTGTCCATGAAGCAAATGGTCCTATGTTGGCCAACCAGGCTGGAAAGTGAGGGCCAAGTGAAAAAGTTTAGGAGAAAAGAATGGTGACATTTGTGGATGTGGAGGTTGTATCAATAATGGGATTATTCTTATGAAATTTCATTTTTAGGGGGAAAAAAAAGAACCAGTTTGTTTTCCAGCACAAGTCTGTATTAGTTATTGGGTTGTGTGTGTGTCTAAGTTTTTTTGGGGGGGACAGGACAGAAACAAAAATACTATTGTCATTGGGCAGAAGATCCATGAGGTTATTAGGCCATACAGTGGATGGAGCACTGGTCCTGGAGTCAGAAAGACCTGAGTTCAAATCCAACCTGAGACATTTCATGACAAGTCACTTAACCTCTGTCTGCCACAATTTTCTCAACTGTAAAATGGGACTTTGCAGGATTGTTGTGAGGATCAAATGACATAATATTTGTCAAGCGTTTAACATGGTGGTTGGCACATAATAGGTGCTCTATAAGTGTTTATTCCCTTCCTTTCCCCTCCATCAAAAATTTCTCTCAACTTTTCTTTCTCAGGAGCGAATCTTCTTGACGCTTTCCAACTATATTTTCACTGCAATCTTTCTGGCTGAGATGACAGTGAAGGTGATGGGCGAATAGCATGGATTTGGGACCCAGTGGATTATTGGGGTGGGGACTCAGGGAAAGAGAGTACAGTAGGATGGGGCAAAGAGTGTTGAGGCAGAAAGTGACTCTGGGCCTGTGTGAGCCTACGGTTGTGGGACAAAAGGAAGGGGAAGGGGACTGAATCAGATTAGGGAGAGGCTTGGGATAGGTAGTGGACTGGTTGCATCAGGAAGAGTTGAAGGAAAAGTAGGCTGGGTCGGATAGGGGAGAGTTAGGGGTTGGGAGATTGGTGGGGGCAGATTTGAGGGAGAGGGCAGCCTGAGTTGAAATAGTTGAGGGGAGGGAAGACTGGTTTGGGGGGAGGTTATGGGAAAAGACTGGATGGAGTTGGGGGAGGAGCAATCTAGATTGTCTGAGGAGAAGAGTTGGGAGAACCAGACTGAGGTTAGTAAAATACAGTTGAGTGAGGGGTAGATCGGGTTGAATACAAGAGATTTTGAGGGAGGGAGCAGGCTGTTGGATGGGAGGAAATGGAGGAGAAGAGTAGACTGGGTTGAGTAAGGAAACTCAGGGAGGGAAAAGCTTAAGCTGAATAGAAGAGAGTTGTGAAGAATGGGGCAGATTATGTTGAATAGAGGAGAGTTGGGGAAAGATAGAAGGGTTAAGTAGAAGAGATTTGGGAGAGGGGTAAACTAGGATGTAGAAAGACCAATAGGTGACCATGGTTGGATAACTGGGTTCACAGGTAGTAGCCCTAGGCTGGTGCTTTGGGGAGAAGGCTTACCTTCGGAGCAGCTGGAACATCCTGGATGGGCTGCTTGTACTCATCTCTGTCATTGACATCCTGGTTTCCATGGTCTCAGACAGTGGTACCAAGATTCTGGGCATGCTTAGAGTGCTTCGGCTCCTCCGAACACTCCGACCACTCAGGTAATACCCTCCCCCCAGGAAGTGTGACTACCCTCCCCTCAAGGTAACACACCCTTCACTCCGGAGAAGAAACCACCTTCCCCATCCTTCCCTCAGAAAGTGTGACTACCTTCCTTCTAAGGTTAATCTGAGGGAACTGACCCTTCCCTCAAAGGATGAAACTACCTGCCCACAAGGTAACACCCTTCTCTCCCCCAACTCCTACCTTAGGTATGGCTTCTCTCCTCTCCCTAACTCTTCCCAAAGGGACTGTGACTACCCCCCAAAGTAACCCTCCCCTGCTTCCAGTGACATTTTGACCCTAAGAGAACAAGTCTACCTAAGATTCTACTCCCTCCTCACATACTTCAGGTAACACATTTGGGTGCTAGAAGGATAAATAGAACTACCCAGAGCAGGAGTAGGTGGGCTGTGACTTGGAAGTTGAATGCTCTGTGCTAGAGAGTGGCCTGCCTCTGGGATTGGGGCCAACTGAGTTTCCGAGGAATGTCAAAGGAGAGGAGGAGGACAGAGTTCCTGATGTGGAGTCAGGCCTTCTCCCCTTCTAGGCCTAGTCAGATCCTCTTTGCTACCTCAGAGATGTCCTTTCTCTTTATCATTGGTGCTGCTTCCTCATTCCCCTCAGAGTCATCAGCCGGGCCCAGGGGCTAAAACTGGTGGTGGAGACTCTGATGTCATCCTTGAAGCCCATTGGAAACATCGTGGTCATTTGCTGTGCCTTCTTCATCATCTTTGGCATTTTGGGAGTGCAGGTTAGGCGGGCTGGAGAATTTGTGGAGTACAAAACTATGAATGAAAGGGATGGAGGGGCATCTGGTTACAAGGGGCAGAAATGACCCTATCAAAGGGAGATAGGAACATCTTCAGGAAGCTAGGTCAATAATCAGGGTGTCCTGGGGCTTCCACTGCTGCTATTTTCATCTTCTGTCCTCTCCCCTTTAAACAACAAAAATCAGAACACAAAAGGTATCCTCTCCTCTTTTTTCTTCTCTTCCCCCGTCATTCCCTTTGGGAATCCCATGATGGGAGTGGAGAAGGAGGGAGGGGGGTGGTTTGGACATTCTGGGGACCTAAAGGGAATCAGAATTTCAGAGGTGTCCCCTTGCATAACCATTCCTCAAGCTCAGGCAATGAATCCACTTAGCAGATCCAGGACCAATATCCCTTCCCTTCTGTTATATTCCTACCTAGGAGGGTAGGAAGGGTAGGAGGCCAGGCTGGGGATCAGGAGCCTAGACAGCTGGGCCCAGTTAGCAGCAGGCGCAGGCCTCAGACGGGACAGGAAGTGGAGGATGGGGCGGGGGGGGGGGGGGGGGGGGGGGGGGGGGGGGGGGG